GTCACCTCTGTAAAAACCCTGATGGGGGTGGGGGGTTGATCCACGATCCACATGATCCACGATCCACATGGCGTAGAACTCTCATTTCATATCTAATCATATTCATGTGTCCTCATGTGCAGCCCTTAAATAAAGAAATGGTCTTATAGGGAATGACACGTGATCTGAAAATGGGGAGGTCTACCAAGGTTTCTGAGATTTATTCTTTTATCATCAGGCACAGACTTGCTGCAGGAACAGCAGAAAAGATTCAACTTGGATCGTTGATCGCTGCTTTCCAAGTTGCACGTGACATGGTGCAAGCGAGCAACTGAACTGTTACCATGACACTAAAAATAGCATTAGCATCTGTTAATTTTTAGTATTTTCTTGCGATGGAGTCAAAAGACCTAGGTATAAAAAGGTCTGGCCGAGATCACTTGTATATTATATGGACACCGCATCATTTCCTTTCTAATCCAGTGGCACGTGAATTCCAACGATAAGGATTATTTCCTTAGGTCACTTTAACTTTCAAGTTCATTGCAATACCGTCGTGTCCCTTGCTAACCCTGAGCAATAGAGAACTCCAAACTGGAGTATTTGATTATAATTTGATTATCCTATAGTGAGATTTTGCAGCTTCCGCACGCATGTTGTCGTTAAAAAAACCTCATTAAAACAACACATGGAGAGAGCTATTTTATTGGTTTTTCTGTTATTGCAAGATATAAAATTTCTTATAACATTTTTTTTGTAAAACACTTATACATAAATGGAAAATCCTTCCCTACCCCTCTACAGTGTCCCATAATTGAACGGTTTTCTTAAATGTAAAAATGTAAATCATATATTTTACGTCGATTGTGGGGAGTGATTGTTCAATATCTCGAGAGTCATCGAGGCTCATGTTTCGACTTTTGACTTAAGGGCCTTTTATAATTCTTTAATATCTTTATCATTGGATAAAAATATCGAAGTTCAATGTTGGGACAACCACGTGTCATTCCCTAGAGATTAAGATTCTTTGTTTGAGTCTTATCCATATTCTGGTTTTTCTCCTTCGCAACTGTTAAACAAAGAAACGATACTATAGGGAATGATACGTGTTAATGGGAAAATATTACGCCAAGAGGAATTAAGTTTATTCGGCTGAAAATTCACTGACATAATGTGGTTTTACTTAAAGTCGGAAACAAAAGTTAAGCCAGTATCTCACTAGCGAAGCAAGCCGACGCAAGCATAAACACAAGAGCAAGTAAACGAAAGAAAAAAATCTGTTCTCTCGTTTTTGCGTCGCTTCTTTTCATAGTGAAAATATGGAGTTGCGTCTTCTTGCATTGAAATTGAGAACCAGGCTTTACTTGTCAATGTTTATTAGTGAAATAGACACAAATAGACAGCTAACCATACGAGGTCAAGGCTTCTGGCATCACCTGTTATAGTATCTGTTACATACATTAGAATGTACTTCGCCATCAGTTATCATTGAATCTTTTGTACTGGTTTCGTCTTAGCAGTCGTAACTCAGGTGAGCCGTAATCGTTTCGTTTGATACTTCTTTTTCTTTGATGTTGTGAATGGCCTCTGCTAGATTGACCGCTAAGAGATGCTTGCACTGAAAAAAAAAAAAAAAAATATATATATATATATATATATATATACACACACACACACACATCCATTTGCAAAAATTATGGCCGTTTCAAATATATATACAAATATATCAAAAGTATATCA